AGGGATGGAGACTCCACTGCTTCCCTAGGTAACCCATTCCAGTGCTTCACCACCCTCCTAGTGAAATAGTTTTTCCTAATATCCAACCAGGACCTCTCCCACCGCAATTTGATACCATTGTTGCTGTTGTACCAGAGCCATTTACTGAAGGATTATTACCGCCAGGCTGTGTCTACACTGCACCCCTTTTCCGGAAAAGGGATGCAGATTAGACAAGTTGGAATTGCAAATGAAGCGGGGGATTTAAATATCCCCCGCTTCATTTGTATAAACATGGCTGCCGCTTTTTTCCGGCTCGGGGCTTTGCCGGAGAAAAGCGCCAGTCTAGACGGTATCTTTCGGAAAATAAAGCCTTTTCTGTAAGTTCCCTTATTCCTGATTGTAAGAGGAATACAAAGTAAATACATTATGAATACAAAGTAAAAACAGATAATAGTGTTGGGAACATACAAGTTGATCTCACAGCAGTTAAGTGCACAACACTCACACAAATATTAATGGGAGTTCAGCATGTGAACAGGAGGTTACCATGACGCCTACTCTATGGGTGATGGTTACAAAAATATATGGTCATTATAAGTAAGCATGGATTTATTATGCCTTTTAATATACAGACCACTATTGACACTGTCTTCATGTTCATAGGCTATATCTAACTTTTCTTGCTCTTTACATATTCAAGATCATTCTTATGATTCTTTCTGTTTCATGAGATTTGATTGCTGGGATATAACAAGATGTACACAATAATATCATTTTATGCACTTTGGGAGAATTCTTGATGCAATTTCTGCATGTTTATAGGTGCTATTTATTTATGCAAATGTTCATAATCACAAAGAGGAAGAATGATTTCATTTCTCCCAGTATGGGTATGTCTACACTACCCCGCTAGTTCGAACTAGCGGGGTAGTGTAGACATACCCTTATTCCTCTTAAAATCAGGAATAAGGGATCTTTCATAAAAGGCTTTATTTTCCGAAAGAGCCTGTCTAGACTGGCGCTTTTCTCCAGCAAAGCCCCGAGCCGGAAAAAAGCGGCAGCCATGTTTATACAAATGGAGCGGGGGAGATTTAAATCCCCAGCTTCATTTGCAATTCCGACTTGTCTAATCTGCATCCCTTTTCCGGAAAAGGGGTGCAGTGTAGACACAGCACCATGGTCTATGAGGTGTTATCTGCAGCCCCAAATCAAACTGCCCTTTTTCTCAAGGCAAACTCATGTCTAATTTACTCTCCACTACCTTCCCTAAATATCATGGAGCATTACTGCTCTTTGGATTTTTTATCCCTGGTTGAATATCTGGCTTTTAGAGTGTTATTCCACAAACTCCGTTGCTTTCTATCATCCAGGGTAAATCTTATTCCATTTTCCATTCATATTTGCAGCCTCTTTGCATCATTTCTCTGCCCTCAGTGGTGTTCACAAGTCCTCCTAATTTAGTTTTATTTTCAAATTTCATCAACATGGTATTTACTTCCTCTTTCAGGTCATTAATACAGATGACAAATAACACCGTCATTCAGCACAGTGTGTGAGCAAATAATTAAGCTTGAAGTTATTTGCTGAATAAGGATGGCTGAAATAAAGAATGTTTCCAAGTTCTGCTCTGAACTGTGGCCTAAGGCCTCAATTCTGTAACTTACGTGAAGGAAATACCCTGTGTTTTCACAGAGCCCCACAGCAGGCAGTGTTGCTATGTGTAGGTACAGGGGTTTATTTGCACGTTGTAAATTGCAAGACTGGGCCAAATCATGCTCTATCACCAGTCCAGAACTTTGCCTTTGCCAAGTCTATGGAAGGCCCTTAAACCCTTCTCCTGGCCAGGTTCTCAGTCATCTTCTCAATCAGGGTAATAGGGAAGCAAAATGTCTGTGGCTTCAGTGTGGTTTATCAGCCCTAGTTCTCCAAGGTTAAGGAGCTTCTTCCCTGAGAGCTCCCTTGGTGGGATAGTTAAGGGAATACAGACCTGTATGTGCCACTGGGGGTATGTCTAGACTATAGAGTTTTTTCGAAAAAAGAAACATGGGGAAGTGTATTCATGAGTGGAGTGCAGGTAGTGAAGGATACATGCTGATCAGAAAAGATGGAAATTAAGGTAAAGGTTATAGAGCATCACTATAAATTAATGATGACATAGATTCCAATGAAATTAAAAGTAATGTAATGGATAAAATAAAGTCTGTTTATATCAAAGTCACTTTGGGGAAGCAAGGTAACAAAGATTTCAGTGGGATAATGCTTGACCCGATGGGTCAGATCTCGATTCAGATAGAGACCTCTTTGATACTTTAATGAAATCAATGCTACTAGGAATTGTGTGATTGTGGGACACTAGCTGTGCTCCCCTCCAGCAAACCAGGGAGACGCGGGTGGCGGGACCGCCAAAACGTGCCACGGTCCTGCTGCCCGCGTCCTCCGAGGCTTTGCTCCACGTCTCCCTGGTCTGCTGGGGGGCGCAGCTTTTCTCGCTGCGGAGGATGTGGGCGGAGGGACCGCGGCGCGTCCTCCATGGCGAGAAAAGCCCCGTTCGTATGTAGGGATCCGACATAAGTCGGATCCACGTAACTCGGGGACTGCCTGTACTCCATTCAACATATCTCTCAGTTCAGTTTAGTGCCATTCATTGCTTATGATTGTTTAGAATAATTTCCCATCCCGTGGTTATAGCCAAGTCAATTTGAATTAATTTTAAGGTAATATTTTTGGGAGGGAGCAGTAAATGCTTTACTGAAATCTAAAGGTCTGGTTATGCTGTCTGTTGTGTTGGTGAACACCTTTTCACATAAGTAGGCTCATTTACTTTGACAATAGTAGTTTTAAAGTAATTTTACAAAAGGGAAATCAAGTTTTCCGGTGAAGATTTGTTCTTCTTAAATCCATGCTGCTTATTTGTAATATTGTCTTGTGAGTTGCCTGATTCTGCAACTAATGAAGCAAGTGGAAGAAATCCCATTAATTGTAATTGACATTGGATCAGAGGCAGGGGTCGGCAAATTTTTCAAACCAAAGAGCCAAACTACATAAAAATTTAGAACAAATGGTCAACAAACACCCCTCTGGACTAGTGATGGGTGCAGAGGGAGCAAACTCTGACCCAGTGAATCCCCATTGGTCTGGATTAGCTCCCCCTGTGACATGTGAATCCGATCTCTCTAGATTAGTCCCCCCGGGACCAAAGGACATGAAAGGCCCCTCTGGCCAATGAGACATGGATGGGTAGCAGAAACTGAGATAAGACAAAACTTGCCTCACTAGAATGGCAATAAATGCTACTGGGAGCAGATTTCAATCAGCTGCTTCTGACTCTACACTGGTCCCGCCGCCACTGGGAACTCTTGGGGTTCCTCAGAAGGGGTGGCCCACCTCAGCTAACCCCTCTTCAGCCACGGGTTCTGTGTCCGGGGCTGCCCAATCTGGCCCCATTGCCATCAGAGGTGTCCTGAGGTTTCAAACCGGAGCCACCCGGCTGCTTCCAGCCCTGCTGCCATGCAGGGCAGGGGGTAGAGATCCCCAGCTGGAGATCCCCAACAGGACCGCCTGCGATCAGAAGCCCCACTGCAGCTGGAGTCCCAAGCTGGGGCTGGGATCATTATAGAATCATAGAGCTGGAAGAGACCTCAGGAGGTCATCGAGTTCAGCCCCCTGCCCAAAGCAGGACCAATCCCAACTAAATCAACCCAGCCAGGACTTTGTCAAGCCAGGACTTAAAAATCTCTAGTGATGGAGATTGCACCACCTCCCTAGGTAACCCATTCCAGTGATTCACCACCCTCCTGGTGAAATAGTTTTTCCTAATGTCCAACCTAGACCTCACCCACTGCAACTTGAGACCATTTCTCCTTGTTCTGCCATCCATCACTACAGAGAACAGCCTTTCTCCATCCTCTTTGGAACCCTCCCTTCAGGAAGTTGAAGGCTACTATCAAATCCCCTCTCACTCGTCGCTTCTGCAGACTAACTAAGCCCAAATGCCTCAGCCTCTCATCATAGGTCATGTGCTCCAGCCCCCTAATCATTTTGGTTGCCCTTCTCTGGACCTCTCCAATGCGTCCACATCCTTTCTGTAGTGGGGGGCCCAGAGCTGGATGCAATACTCCACATGTACTCCGGCCATTTGGTCCAGCTCATGCCAAGGGTTCCTTTGCCAGGGCAGGAGCTTGGTCCAGCCACTGCTAGCCCAGCTGGGGCTCCCTAGCCCACGTTATCTCTGCTGGCTCCCACTTCCACCTCCGGGACTCTTTGGTCCAATAACATCCTGCTGGACCAGAAAGTCCCGGATTTCAGAGATTCAACCTGTACCCTAACAGAAGACTAGAGAGGATAGATATCATGTGTGTTTATTGAAACTAAACAAACAGTCACCAGTTAATATTGTGCTACTACTTCCATGTTAATATTGATGACTTTTTACATAGGCTTTTTCCAAGGTAAAATACTTATAAGCAGAGGTAGCAATACACTACAATAGTAACAGACTTCTGTTCCTGTCTGTTACTAGTTACTGAGATAAGCCTAGACTTTTATAATTTCCTGCATCATTACCATTTTAATACAGAGTAAAAAGATGTGCAAAGTATTAACTGATTAGATTCCTCAAAAAGTCAAGGCCTTCATAGAATTTTGATAATTTTACCCTTACATGATGATATTGGGAAATAATTAAAGACAAAATGGATATTTAATGTCCCACCAACCCACTATGCTAAAACCAAATTTCTGAAGGTATCAGATCCAATGAGGTGGTAGTTTGTACCTCAAGGAGGATGACATCATTTCCATGCATAGAAAAGTACAGGTAACAACATACCAAACATTTCAGCAGATTCCCCTAGAAATCTCTGATAAACAATAAATACAGCATATATTTTTTTTAAAAAAGGCTTAAGGAATTACTGAAAAGTATTATTTTGTTACAGGGAAATATGTTGGTACTAGTCTGGGAGGAAAAAAAGGCATCAAAACCAGTTACAGTATAGGAAAAAAGAAGAACATCTTACCTATATAGTGTGTGAGATGGCCGTTCATTCTTCTCCAGTTGTCCATAGCAGCTGGTTTTTGCTTCTGGAATGAAGGAATACTTTTCCAACATGGCTGATGCAGCTGTGCTGATAATCCCAAGACCGTCCCGCACCCGAGATTCTAAACTATAGTCCCATTCATCATAGGATGCTGAAATTAGCCCCGAAGGAAATTCCTTGGGAGTGATTTCTGTGTTGCCACTAACCAGGCTGGGGACTATCCAGAAGAAATCATAACCTGTAAGGCCTAGGGAACGGGCTTCATCCAAAATGTAAACAGCTTCATCCTTGGAACAGTAAAGCAGGATAACAGATGAATGAATTTTCTTCAACTGAATCTGGGTTTTGGCATCCCCAATGGCAGTATCTAGTGTGATCACATTCTGCATGTCCCAGCCCACAAAACTGTTTTCCACTGTGGTCTTGATGAAACTTATAAAGTCCCGATATCCAGGAAATGTGCTGGTCACCAGGGAAAAGACATGCCAGTCATAATCCTGCATCACTTTGAGCATGACAATGGCTTCCTGCTGGACAGAAGCCCCAAACTGGAAGAATGTAGACATCAAATCCTAGAATATACAAAAGACAACAAAAGGTTACTATAATTGGAGTGATGTTCAAAGAGGAGAACGTCTGTGTCTTCTGTGAGTGTGTGAAGTTAAAACAATTTTTTAATATATTTTATACATAACACAACCAGGTGGATGATGCTGTTTTCTTGTAGGCAGGAACACCAACTGACAGTAATTACTATGATTAAATCTTTAGGAAAAACAACATGATCACATAGTTATCAACTTGGGAAATCTCTCTAAGCACTTAAAGGTAAATGAAGTCAAACAAATAGTTACAGATAAACCATATAGCTCTCTACATTATTCAAATGAATTAACTCCCACCATATCAAAGAACATTTACCAGATCTTACTGTGAAGCAATGTACTCTACTGGATTGTTGACATGGATTATTAAACAAAAGGGGAGCAACTTTATTGAGTATGCAGTTTATATATGAAACAATACTTTACACACAGGCCTGATTCACAAAGATGGTGAGTTACCACAAATTTAGTTTATGTCAGTGACTGCTGTCAGCTCCTCTAAAAATTGAACCCACTCACATAATTGATGTTTACCACTCATCACGTTACAGTCAGGTCACACTTTTCATTTCAGATTAGAATAATATTATGTGCTATAATAAAACAACTACTATTGATTTATAATTATGATAATCTAGGAGGGTATGTCTACACTACAAAGTTAATTCGAACTAACAGCCATTAGTTTGAATTAACTTTGATAGGCGCTACACAGGCGAACCTCTAGTTTGAACTTAATTCAAACTAGCAGAACGCTTAATTCGAACTTGGTAAACCTCATTCCACGAGGACTAACGCCTAGTTCGAATTAACTAGTTCGAATTAAGGGCTGTGTAGCCACTTAATTCGAAGTAGTGGGAGGCTAGCACTCCCCAGCTTGCCCTGGTGGCCACTCTGGGCACCACCAGGGAAACTCGTCTGCCCCCCTCCCAGCCCCGGAGCCCTTAAAGAGGCACGGGCTGGCTACGGTGCCCGTGCCAGGTGCAAGCCTGCCAGCACCCAGCTAGCAGACCCTGCACCTGGCACGTCACGAACCAGCCACCCGCTGCCACCCAGCCCTCCGCCTCTTCCCAGGACCAGGCTGGCAGCTCTCGGGGGTCTGCCCAGGTCCGCAAGAGGCAGGCGCCCGCCTGGTCTAGTGCAGACATCGTGGACCTCATCCACGACCTCCGCACTAGGCACAGGAAAGGGGCCATCC